GGCTTCCCAGGCTGTGGGGAAGAAGAGAGCCTGTTACACCCAAGGGAATGCAGCTGACGCCGGCCATGGCCCTGCTCCGTGCTCGGGGTAGACCCAGGTGGGCGGGTGTGTGGGGACCCTGTGGGAGGATCCAGTGAGTCGGGCTGCAGAGAGCTCGGCCAGGGCCTGGCCCCAGGAAGATGCTGCGTGCACAGGGCGGCTGCTGGCTCTGTGACGTCTGCCTGGGAGCTGGGGAGCGGGGGAGAGGCTGTAGCCGAGGTGCAGGCCGTACCTGCGGCAGAGACACACAGGCCTGGGTTCAAATCCAGACTTGGCCGCTGGTTGGAGCACAGAACCCTGAGCCTTTAGGCCTTGCCTTATATAAAAAGTGTTTAACTCTGGCCTTTGGGGTGGGCCATCCTGGGGACTTCCTTTTCTGGGCCTTAGGTTGACCCATCTGTGCAAAGGAGCTAATAATTCCCTGTCCTCAGGGTATTATTTGGATGCAGTTCCACGAGGTGATGTAGCTTACTGAGCGGGGGGTGGCGAGCGCTTTGGAATCCTCAGAGTTGGCAAAGGCAGAGGCTGGGGAGCTCCCTAGAGCCTGAGGGGTGGGCCCAGGGTCCCGCAGCTCTGTCTCCCCTGGAGAGGGCCTTTCTAAATGAGCTCCAGGTTCACGGGGGATGGCGGGGTCCTGGCAGAAGGCCGCCTGAAAGGACAGAGGCCTGGTGGTCTTGCTGTGCTGACCACAGGCTGCCGACAGGAGGGCTGTAGGAGGCGGCAGTCAGGCCGTGGAATGCAGACCTTGCTGCCATCACCGCTGTTCCTCACGTCCCGGCTCCGACTCTGCAGAACCCAGCCTTTCCTTTTTTTTTTTTTTTTTTTTTTTTTTTTTTTTTTTTTTTTTTTTTTTTTTTTTTTTTTTTTTTTTTTTTTTTTTTTTTTTTTTTTTTTTTTTTTGTGTTGCTGGAGATGGAACCCAAGGCCTTGTGCACATACAAGAGCCACATCCCCAGACCTTTTTATTCTGTTTTGAGACAGGGTCTTGCTAAGTTGCTGAGGCTGTCCTTGAACTTGCAGTCCTCCTGTCTTAGCCTCCTGAGTAGCTGGGGGTCCAGGTGTGGCCACCACAGCAGCCATCTCAGCCCTCAGAAGGCCACAGCCTGCCCACCAGCTGCTCCATCTCTGGAGACATGAGCCTTTGTTATCTTTGCCTGGTCCTGAGTCCCCTTCTCCCACAGGGGCTCCATGGACCCATTTTCTTCCTTGCTGATGATCTCTTCCCCCTCTCCCCAACTTTCCTGCGGGGTAGAACTGGGATCTCTGGTCACCATGTGGCACCCAGCCCACCCGGAGCCCACACACGAGGTTGGCAGCTCCTGCTGGGTGCTAACCCGAGGCCCAGCTCTGGGCTGCTGTCCTGTTTGCCCGCCCACAGCTTGCCGTCCTCCTGGCAGGGGGGTCTCTGATAGCACTGCCCTTGCTCTGCAGCATGGTCTCAGATGGGTCTTCGGTGCCTGCAAAAGCATCTCAACTGCAGGCACCGTTTGGAGCCCAGCCTCAGCTGGGTCTTCTCCAGGTAACAGGAGGAAGCCAAGCTCAGGCTGCCAAGGGGCCTGCCCAAGGCCTCCCTGTGGTAGGCGGGGGCTGGAGCTTGGCCTCTGGCTCAGGACACCTGACTTGACAAGGACCCCGAGACTCTGGCTCTGGTGCGTTCTGTCCCTTCAGAGGGGGGATCTCCGTTCTTGTCCTCAAGTTTTCAGACTAAGGCATTTCCCATGGGACTTTGGAAGACAGGGGAACGCTCCTGGACTCTGGGCCAGGTCGCCCCCTACTGGACCATCCTGGGAATGCTCCTGGTCTCTGGGCCCACGTGGGAACTCGGGTTTGGGATGAGGGATCCCACTGAAGGGCAGGACAGGACGTTTGTGGAGGCCCAGGCTTTTCCCGTGCTCTCTCATTTAATGCCCCCCAAGTCTCCGTAGTGTCTCCAGGATGCAGAGGGCCTGGGTCAGGACAGGACCCTGAGGTCTTCTGCCAGAAGATGCCCAGGAGGCCCTGAATGGGCCCTGGGCGGCGAGCAGCTGGGGCGTCAGGCGGAGTGCGCGAGCTTCTCGTGTGTCTGGTGCATTTCTTGGAGTTGCCCCATTTTCCAGGCCCTCGGTGATGACGTATTGGCGTCCCCTCCATTTTATGGCTGAGGAAAGGGACAAGGCCAGGCCAGGGCCCCTCATCCACAGTGTCCTCCCCTCCCCCGCCATCTGCCTGGGCTCAGAGAGTGGGCTTGGGGCCGAGCTGGTGTGCCTGTCCTCCTGGCCGGGGCTCACCAGCCCTGTCCCTGCCCCAGGGGTGGACAGGAGCCTGCTCTATGAAGACGTGCACCGGGACAGGGCGCCTCGGGAGGCCGAGGACCTAGGCTGGAGCTCCAGTGAGTTTGAGAGCTACAGCGAGGACTCCGGGGAGGAGGCCAAGCCGGAGGTGGAGCCCGCCAAGCACCGAGTGTCCTTCCAGCCCAAGGTGAGGGGCCCGGGCAGTGCCTCTCAAGGTCAGGGCACCCAGACCCCTTCAGGGAGGGGGCAAATGGGGAGTGAGGGCGAGGACCAGGGTCTAGCTCAGCATTTCCTGGGAACGGACGCTGAGAACAAGCGGCCCAGCCGTCCCCGAGCAGCTGCTCCCTAGGCCTTGCTCTTTGGCTGTGGGAACCTCAGCGCGGGGTGGTCCTGGTCAGTGCTGGCCCGGGGCCACCCCCTCCCTGTGCACACCCAGCCAGTTCATACGCAGGGCCCAGAGCCGACTTCAAGTCATGTGCAGCCCAAGGCTCCAGGTAGCTCCGTGGCTGGCTGCAGTTGGCCCTGGGACCAATCAGGGGTCTCCCTGCCCTACAGGGTGCTTCCTGAGGTCAGTCCTTAGGGCCACACTGCGCGCTGTGTCCTGGGAGTAAACAGGTGGCTGCGTCAGAGCTACCTGGAATCTCCTTTCCATGGCCTCTCACATGGCATCAGGGCTGCTGTGGTGTCTGTGGGACGGGGCTCCTCCTGCCTATGTCACGGAGGGAGCCACCAAAGCCCAGAGGAAGCCGACCCGCCTGTGCGTCCCACGTGGCTCTGTGGAGGCCACAGACGGCGGCTCTGAGACATGCAGCTTAGTGGAAGCAGCTTCTTGCAACCTGCTGGCCAGAGGTGACAGGCCCCCCGCAGGCTCCTTCTGAAATGACCGACAGGCAGGAGAGGCCCCTCTGGGGGCCAGTCCTTGGAGGCAGGCAGGGCCCAGAGCAGGGCCAGGCAGCTGGGATCGGGCCGCTCAGGCCGTGTCTGCAGCCCCCGAAGGCTTCCTGCCCACTCCTGAGGTGGGGGTCCCTCCAGGCCCCCGCAGGCTCCAGGCAGCCTTCCCTCGGCCCAGGACACACTCCCAAGGCCTAAGCAAGCCCGGGGCCGAGGGGACCTGTCTGAGCCCCAGGGTTCTCAGGGCTGGGCCACAGAAAATGCCCTGGTGGCTCGCTGACCATAAAGTGACGCGTTTTTACCCCACTGTGTGCCAGGTCCCTACCTCAGGTGTAGCTGGGGGACATGGAGACAGGCAGACCTGACCCAGACTCAGTGACCCTTCATGGTTTAGGAGAAGTCACCAGTTGTAAACCAATTTGTCAAAAATGAAGACAGAAACTCCTTGTAAATGTGCTGTGTACAGCACGGCCACACTCCTGGCCACACGCCTGGCCACACGCCTGACGTGGGTGGGGAGCTGGGGGCCCGACCATGGAGGCTTCTCACAGGACAGAGGGTGGCCCAGGAAGAAGCCCAGGAGCCCAGTCTGCTCTGTGTTCTAGAAGGGGCAGCACGCTCTGCCCTGGGGCAGGACACTGGGCTGTGAAGCCCATCCCCTGGGCCGTCTCTGCAGGAGGGCAGAAGCCATGGCTCTCTCTCCTGCTCTCAGTGGTGACCAGCGGACTCTGGAGCTATAGGCCTGATTCCCGGCCCCCAGAGGTCCCCCTCTTCTCCACGGTCACCCCCAAACTCTGTCTCTCTCTCCGAGGGAAAGGGACGGAGAGGCAGCTTCAGGCTCTCGGTGCTGGTCCCCAGGCCTGCAGGGCATTAGGGTCGGTGGGACCCCGTGCTGGGCCTCCTCTCCGGGGTCTGGCACCTGCCTTCTAACCCGCACTCTGCCCACAGGGCACTTTGAGAATCGCTGGGCTGGGCCGAACCTCACGGGCCCTGGGGTGGGGTCTGTGTGCCTCTCACACCCTCCCGGGGGCTTCGGACCCTCCCCAGAGGGGAACCTGGGACAGTTCTTGGGGTCCCAACTCGAGGGCTTTTTGTCTGGCTCTGGCCAAGGCCCGCCCACTGCCCGACCAGTGGTGACTCGGGAGGTGGGAGGGTGTGGAGGGGCTTTTGCTCTGTGTCACTTCTGCCTGGGTGACTGCTGAGCCCTGCTGGGCCGGGTGCTCTGGGCACGCCTGCTCCTGGCTGCACAGCCGCGCATGCTCCCGCCAGCTGCTTTGCCCAGGGCAGAGGCAAGCGAGGCGGCAGGTGTGAGGGACAGTGCGGTCCCGTCCTGGGAGTCTGACCGTGGCCTTGGCACTCGATCTGCCACAGGAGAGCCAGTCCAGCCCTCTGTCAGCTGTGCTGAGGGGCCAGCCCAGGCAGGTGGGCTTCACCGGAGAAAGTGGCCCAGGGTCTGCAGTTGGCCTCGTCAGAGGGACCTGGTCCAGGGTGGGCAGCCACTGTCCTGTAGGTCCACGGTCATGCTGCTGGCTGCCACCCGTGGTGGGGGGGATCCTTCCACTGGTGGGTCCACTTTCCTCCTGTGACCTCCCATCACCAAGGTCACCGTGACCCAGCAGGGCGGGGCCTGCAGGACGGGCAGATGGTCCCAGCACACCCGCTCTGACGTGGGCACGTGACCTCTGACCCTTCACATTTCCTAGCTCCTCAGGCTCTGAGAGGTGAGGGGCGCCAGAAGGCCGAGGGGATTTGTGGCTTTATAAGGTTGAGCTTATTTATAGAGGAATTCAGGATTCTGGGTCACTGTCACAGGATCCCTGTCCTAATACTTGTATAATAGAGACCATTTACCCAGTGCGGTACAGTTCAAAAGCAGTTCCACTAGATTTTTCCTACTACCCTAGGGTGGTCACTATTATGAAGATTCTCATTTTGTTGTTCAGAAAACCTATGTGACTTAAGCTCAGAGAGGTTAGTGATGGGCTTCGGGTCACACAGCCAGTAAATGGTAGAGCCAAAACTCAGCATCACATATGGATAAAACACCTCAGCCATCTCTCTGTCCATCTCTTCATCCACCCATCCACCCATCTGTCCATCCATCTATCCTCCCATCCACTTAACAAACACTGATCACTCATAATTTTAAAAATAGAATAATATTGGCATTTGGTTTCTGGCTACTTACTAAATTTTGGGCTTTACACTTAATTTTCTCTGTGAGCTATTATCTCAATGACCCCACGGCCCAGTGGGCTGTTCTCATGGCCTCTTATGTGCATTTTACCAGCACACAAGCTGCAACTCGGAGAGGGAAAGAGACTTTTCCAGCCAGCAAGTGGGAGCCACAATTTGCATGTAGACCTGCGGCCCCCAGAGCTCACATTCTAGAACCTTCTACGTGTCCGTTATCCGTGTTGGTCTTCTGTGTACTGTACTTAGTGTCCCTCTTGCTTACACAGCTCACGCATTTGAATGTGCGTCTCCCTTTCTGTCCATCATCATGGGGGGTGTCCGTAAGCCAGTCCCCGCCCGCCCGTCGCCTGCCCTCCTGTGCAGCCGGCATCCTGCAGGGCTGCGGGGCTGCAGTGCTGCTCATGGGAACTCCCGCACCGCAGCCGCATCTCGGTTCAGCCCACGTTCTCGGTCGCTGTGGAAGTCAGTTGGCCCAGGTGGGAGGGTACTCAAGTGCAGTGCCGCCCACAGGGCTCTTCTTCCTGGAGAGCTGGCTGTTAGGCACTGCCCAGCGCGCTCGGCCATGTCTCCATCCACCTGTTCACATCCTCTGCTGACCTCCTCTGTCCATCTCTCCACTTGCCCAGCTGTACAGTCACCAGACCAAACCCATCCGATGGCCTGTCCATTCATCATCTACCCAGTGTCTGTCTGTCGTCCACCCATCTGTCCAGCCACCCCCTGCCCACTCATCCATCTTTCTGTGCTTTGGCCTACGTGTCCACTGACGCTCCTGCCCTGCCGTTAGGTCCTCCTCACGAATGTGCCAGGAACCTCTAGTTACAAGCCCTACACGGGCCCGGGCTGGGGGAGATGCCCTGGTCCCCGGAACAGTCCCCTTCCCCAGAGAGGGGAACCTGGCCTCGTTCCCGCCCTGCCTTGCTCCCCAGCGGCCGGACCCCCTGCACAGAGACCCCAGCACATTGGCCTGGACGCTGCTGGGCAGACCCCAGCGGGACCGACCCAGCTGCCCACGGGGTGCTGTCCCGCCTGCCCTTTGTCCGCCTCACTTGACTGAGTCTCCTCTCTCCTGTGTCTGTTTGTCCCTCCTGTTCCGCCTGCTCCTCCCGCCTGCTTTCCTCTGCCTGCCGCTTGCGCTCCAGCTGTCTCCAGACCTGACTAGGCTAAAGGAGAGATACGCCAGGACTAAGAGGGACATCTTGGCTTTAAGAGTTGGGGGGAGAGACATGCAGGAGCTGAAGCACAAGTACGATTGTAAGGTACTGTCCGTCCGTCCGTCCGCCCCGCCCCGGCCGGAGGGGCCCTCATGAGCTGCGGCCACCCATGGAGCCTTTCCGCTGCACCAGCCCTGGCGCCTGGCTGCATTCCACCTGCCCTGCGAGGGGCAGTGCCCGAAGCCAGCCGTCCCTCTGCGACTCTGCTGCACCTTCCCTTCTTCACCTGAGATGCTAATGCCCACAGGAACCCGGGAGGTTTGCAGACTCCCAGACTCACCCGAGGCCTTTGGTTAAAACACACACTCCCGAGTTTGGCCTGGTGCTGGTTCTGCAGTACTCAGTGACCACGGAGGGCGGGCTGGGTTACACCTGGAGGAATCTAGCGGGTGACATTGGACCGCCCCTCCAGGATGCTCCGAGAGGCCCAGGGGGAGGAAGTCTGTGGGAGAAGCTGCAGCCCCCTCAGGCAAGACCTGGGCTTCTAGGTGACATCGTGTTAGTAGCTGCTCTCGAGTGAGGCTCACTGTGTGGCCTGGTGGCCATCACTGGCTTTCGAGGTCCTGCCACTTTCTCTCTCTGTGGTCCTGGCAGGCCTCATGGCCCCTCTGGACTTGGGTTTCTTGCCTGTGAGCCGGGTGTCGGGAGGAGTGGCCCCCGGTGATCAGGTCTGTGGGGTGCTCGGCTCCAAGAGAGCAGTGGGTGGCGGCCACCGCTGTCCCCTCATGTACCTCAGGCTGACTGTCCCTCGCACCCTGGGGGCAGCCGTCGTTCTGCCATCACTGCACCTGAGGCGAGTAAAGTGGTGACCGCTGGTCCTACTGGAAGTTGGTGGCAGAGCTGGGCCTCCAGCTGGGCCTGCCAGGCACCAACCCCTGAGTGTGTCCCTCCTGTACCCCACGACATCTGAGCCCGGCCCTGGGAGGAGGAGGAGCGGGGCATAGTACCCCGACCCCAGCCGAGACCCAGGCCCCGCAGGTTCAACCTCCAGGACGCAGAGGCCCCGAGCAGCCAGGAGCCGCGGAGGGCAGACCCCGGGAGAGGTGCACTTCCCAGCCCCTGCCCCTGGCTGAGGGGCCATGGAGCACCCTGCAGACTGATCACCTGGTCCCCGGAGCCTTCCGGGGTGTGTGCCTGCTGCTCTTCCTCTCCAAGGGCAGGGCCTCAGATGAGCCCCCAAGACCCTGAGGCGGGTCCCCAGAATGCCCCATGGCTTTCCACCAGAACAGGCACTGGGGGTGCGTGGCCCCCGAGAGGACGGACCCTAGGAGACCAACCGTGCTTCCCGGGGTCAACCCTGTTCCCTCTCCGGGTGCTATGGCCACTCCAGCTGAGAGGGCAGGAATTGTGCCCCACAGACGCAGGGAGGGCTGGGCCCGCTTCCCTTTTCCCCGTGGGTAGTTTCCAGAACGCCAGCCTTGCTCGTGGGAAGCCACCACCCTGCCTCTTGGGCACTGCCCGGGCTTCTTAGCAAGCCCCCCTCACCCAGACCCCTGCGGAGCCTGTGGCCAGGAGGACAGGGAGGATGGGGTCAGCCCTGCTCCCTCTGGGCAGAGTCAGGAGAGGGTTCCCTGCACACCGCTGGCCTCCTTGATGGCCACGTAGCTGTTAGGCTGGGATTGGTGACGTGAGGCGTGATCAGTGACCCAGGTCTCAGGACATCCTGAAGGCTCAGGGCCACCTGTGGCCCGTGCTGGCAGTAGAGTCTGTCCTTGCTGCAGAGAGCCCAGGTGGCTGGTGCTGGTTGGTGGTGCAGAAGGTGCCAGGGCTGGGCTGGGTGAGAGGGAATGGAGACGGCGCGGGGACAGCGGGCGCCTGCTTCCTGTCCTGGGCATGTGCTTCCTGCGCCTCACGCCTGCTCAGCTCGCCAGGCTGGCGTCCACCAGGCAGCTGCGTCCTGCTCTCTGGCAACTTCCGCTTTCTCCCAGGCAGCGGCTCAGAAAGGACCCTGGCCGTGGGGGGCAAGGGATGGTCCCTCACCTGTGTGCACCTCTTCCCGGTGGCCCCTGCAGCAAGCCCGTGCCTGCGTGGCGGGTCAGCTCTGCAGGGCCTGCCCAGCCGGCTGCTTGGTCTTGCTGACCCTGGTGGGTGGGTCTGGCCGCTGCCTCCGGGCTGTCTGGGGACACCGAGGCTCGCTTGTTGGGAGTGCCGAGAAGGGATCTGAAGCCAGACCAGGATGCCAGCCTCTCCCTGCCACACTGTCTCCTTAATCTTTCTTTTTTTTTAGCACTGGATTAAACCCAGGGTCTTGCACGTGCCAGGCAATTGCTGTGCCTCTGAGCTCCACCCCAGCCCTTTACATTTTTTTACTTTGAGACAGTTTTGCTAAATTGCTGAGGCTGGCCTCGAATTTGCGATCCTCTTACCTTAGCCTCGCAGGTAGCTGGAATTACAGGTGTGCACTCCTTAATTCGGCACCTGTTGGTGTAGTTGGCTCTCAAGGAAACGGTGGGGTAGGACCTCCCCTTGCCCACAGGGAAACCCTCGGGCCTTGAGTGCATCTGCTGGCCTCCACTCTCCCCTGGCCTCTGCTGCGCACTCACCCGGGAGTGGTGGTCGGGTGGTCCTGATGTCTGCAGCCAGGCTGAGGTCCAGTGGGACTGGCAGCCCTTGGCGGCAGGTGTCCAGGTCCTCGGCCTCTCTGATGAGCCACTCTGCCTTTGCTCAGATGACCCAGCTCATGAAGGCCGCCAAGAGCGGGACCAAGGACGGCCTGGAGAAGACGCGGATGGCTGTCATGCGCAAAGTCTCCTTTCTACACAGGAAAGATGTCCTCGGTGAGGCCGTGCAGCCAGGGTCAGGTGCCAGCTCTGTGCCGGGGGAGGGGGAGGGCTCAATGGGTGGGGCGCCCCTGGGTGTCTGACTGGATGCCCAGTGTCCCTGTCAGTCTCCACTTGCTGCCCACTCTTCTGGGAGAGCTGGGCCCCCTTCAGCGTCCTGACCTGGGCTCTTTGTCAGGGTGTCTTGGCCTCCTGTCCCCTGGCTCACTGGGCCTCACCCATCTCTGTCTCTGCTCGTCCCTTTACCTGTCCGCCAGTCTCCAACCAGTATTATTTATTGAACACCTACTACCTGCCCTGTCCCCTGCCACCTGAGGGACCCTGAGTGAATTTAACAGTGTTCCCCCAGGGGCTCCTGGTGCAGCTGGGGGACAGGCATGTAAATGGGGGGTGGCCCGTGGGGTGTGGGGAGGAGAGGGGACGGGGGTGGTGAAAGGTGGGGGAGGGGAGGCCCATCATGGGGGTGCCACAGGAGGGGAGGGAGGCTGAGGACTTGCTGGGTGCCAGGTACTGACCTAGAAGCTTGGCGGTGCCTCACTTCACCCCTGTGAACACCCAAGGAGCAGGTCCCAGGTGCTCAGGGGCTGCCAGGGTACCCAGGCTGGGCAGGGTTGGCTGCTGGGTGAGCGTCAGGCCGGGTCAGCAGCAGGAGGTCAGCAGGGCTCTAGGGATGGGTGGGGCCCTTGGTCGCTTCTTCATTCGCGGGTTTTTGAGGCTCCTGCTGTGTGCTGGGAGCTGTCCCCGGGTCTTGGACAGTGTGCACAGGCTGGGGCAGTCCTGCCCTGGGGGCTGTGGTTCTAGTAAAGGGGGCGGGGCTGCCCGGGGGAAGGGCGGGGGAGGGTGGCTGCAGCAGCCAGTCCCGTGGGCAGCAGTGGGAGGCAGAGGCAGGTGTGAGAGGGCCCCGCAGAGGTCTCCCCTGGCCTGGCTGAGGGCCCAGGTGCCTCCTGGTGGCTGGCAGGGGTCTTCTGTTGTGCTGAGACGGGCTCAGGGCCACCCGGTGTCCCACCCTGGGCTTTTCCCGGGACACTTGCTGCGGGGTGGGAGGCTGAGGCTTCTCCGCCAGGTTCGGTGCCCATGTTGCCAGGCACTGGGGGGACAGGGACAAGCTAGACCCAGCTGCTGCCTCTGGGGGCAGCAAGCCAGGAGACAGGAAATGTGAGGGCAGAGGCCGAGGGCGGGGTCTCTGGCAGAGCCCTGGGGTGCCAGTCCTGGGGTGGGTGGGGCCGCCCGGTGGAGCTGGACAGCCGGGAGGGAGGGCTGCAGCCCTCGGCGGGGTCCTGCGAGTCCTCTTCCCCTGCTCAGTGCCCCCTCTGCTGGGGGGCGTTCCCGGCTCCTCTCCAGAGCCGTGGCCAGGGTGACGAGGTGGAGTGGGGACAGCCCTGCGTGGCAGGCAGGCCTCGGCAGAGGCATTTGGTGCCAGGACGGTGTCACACTGACCTGGGTCACATCCTTGCCCTGTGGCCTCCCACTGTGCCCTTGCCCAGTTCCTCCCGAGTGTCAGGTTCCTCATCCACAGCGTGGGCTGAGCCCCCGTGGGCCTGCCGTGGTGCTGAGGGGCAGGCGTGGATGCTGTTCACGCCCCTCCACCCTTGGGAAGCACTGGCCACCATGAGAGAGGGGACGGGCCGTGGCAGGCACTGTTTCTGGGACACTCTCCCTGCCCTGGGCCCTCCCCACCCCGCCCTTTAACCCCGAGTGGCCCTCCCCGCAGCGCGTTATTAATAGCCGGGCAGGGCTCGGATCGCGGGCCAAGAATGTTACCCAGCAGCGCGTGGGGGAAGAGGAAGCCACGGGGCCGGCGGCTGGGGTGGGTGCGGAGTGGCGCCCAGGGCGTCATGTGGGCCCGGCAGGAGGGCCTCTGCCACCCCCACCCCCATGCCGTTGTCCGATGTCCCTCCTCCTCCTCCTCCTCCATCTCCTGCTCAGGTAAGGCCCGCCGGGGTGTCCCTGCTCCCTTGGGCCTCTGGGGTCACTGCCACTTCCCTTTTCTTCCCTGCCTCCGGACAGCACCCACTTTCTGAGGCCACAGGGTTTCAGAAGCGCTGAGCAGCAGGGTCCCATCTCCAGTGCCAAGGAGGGTCGAGGGCTGGGCCTGTGTCCCCCGCTAGCCCAGGAGCCTCGTCAGACTTGGGCTGAACTTTTCCTTCTTGGGTTTCTGCGTTATTTTTTTAACCCAGTGCAGACCGCTGCCCGCTCTTCAGGCACATTCCCTTCCCTGGGGCATCCAGAGCAAAGCTATTTTTAGTGCCCAGGGTGGGGACATGGGTGGCTTGGCCTTTGCCAGACCAGAGTGGCCAGGTCTGAGCATGGATGGTGTCGGGCAGGGCTCATCTGAGGCCTGGGTCCCGTGGGACCCTGCTTTGTGTGGCCGCTGGTGGCTCTTCTCCCCCCGCCCACTTGTTTACCGATGCCCAGCCCCGGGCCCCGGGCTGCAGTGGCGACCACAGCCCCCGAGCCAGGAACCTGCTGCTGCTGACCTGTGTCCAGGGCTGGTCTGAGGTCTGACCAGGGCATGCGGTCCGCAGCCTAGCTGTCATCGGCCCGTCTGACTTTCCAGGTGACTCGGAAGAGGAGGACATGGGGCTCCTGGAGGTCAGTGTGACGGACATCAAGCCCCCAGCCCCAGAGCTGGGTCCCATGCCGGACGGCCTGAGCCCTCAGCAGGTCTGTGGGGGGGAGAAGGAGGGACCCCAGCTGCTCTCTGGGGCCACTATTGGTCTGGGTCTTGAAGGGGAAGTGACAACTGGGGACTCTTGGCAGAGCCCCAGCTGGTGGGGGACTCCTGGCTTCTCAGCCGGTGGCTTTCCAGACTGGACCCTGCAGGTTGCACCCTGAGTTTAGGGTACGGTGATACCAGCCTTTGGAATGCGCCCCTCCCCTGTGGCCACCAGAGAGGTCCTTGACTGGCTTGAAGAAGAACTTGAGTAAAACTGGCCAAGGTGATGGCTGTCTTATCTCAGGGACCCAGATAGGTCCCCGCCCACTGCCTAGCATTATGGGCCTTTGGAGTTGACACAGCTTCCACCAGTCGCTGTGGCTTGGCCGGTGACGTCCTCCTCTCAAGTGCCACGCCAGATGGGTGGTTTTGCTCAGGGACCTCGGCCGAGTCAGTCTCCTCCCCACCATGAAGCAGGGCGGAGGATGCCCGTTGGCCGGAGGCTGCGACTTGCTGGACAGCAGTTCAGTGCAAGGGACTTGCTGGTTGGTGGGTGGAAAGCACTTGGCCTTGCTTGAAAATCGGGAAGATAGACCACTGGGGCCACCTTCCTGCCGGCAGCTGTTGGCAGGAGCACAGGGGAGCGTCTTCTTTCTCGGGACCCTTGCCGGCCATCACTGGGCAGTCCGTGGCAGTATACAAGCTTCCCACTCTGGTGTTACCTGCCTGACTTTGGAACCGTTTGAGGTGGCATCTCTGGCTCTAGCCATGACCTGCGTTGCTTTGGGAGCCGGCGAGGCTGAGCCTCCCATGGCGGCCTCCTTCCCTCCAAGCAGGCCCCACTCGCTCCCCGGCAGCTTTCTGTTTCCTGGACCAGGCTTTTATGGTGGCTCTAGCCTGTGGCTCTGGGAGTGATTTCTGCCTCTAAGGGACATTTGACAATGTCTGGAGATGTTTTTGGTTGTCATGACTCAGGGTCCCTGCTGGCCTCTGGTGGGCAGAGGCCCGGGAGGCTGCTGAAGGAGCTTAGGGTGCACAGCCGGCCCCAGCCAGCCACTCGGCCCAGCGTCTGGGTGCTGGGGTTCAGAACTCTGCTCTGGTGCTTCTGGGACTCCTGGGGGCTGTTGACACCGCATGCAGCTGAGGGGCTGTGCAGACCAGCCTGGGCCTCGGCTGTAGGCGGGGCAGTGGGCAAAGCTGAGGAAGTTGTGTCTGGGTGGAGTGGGAGCAGGAGGAGGAGCCTGAGGGACACTCTCCGCACAGCTGTAGGGGTGGAGTGAGGGACACCCTCCCGGCCTTGGATCTGGGTGGACAGGCTCCCGTCTGGATGCCCCCCATACCTGACTCCTTTTGGGAGTACCACCCCAGCTTTGCTACGAAACAGTCACCTGGGCACATTTTTTCCTTGGCTCTGGGGGTTGATCCTGGGGTCCCATGCTCTGCCACTGGGCTACATCCCCAGACCTTTTTTTTTTTTTTTTTTTTTTATTTTGAGACAGGTCTGAGGCTGGCTTTGAACTTGATCTTCCTGCCTCAGCCTCCCGAGGTGCTGGGTTACAGGTGTGCGCCACTGCACCTGTGTCACCTGGGCAGATTTTAAGGCAAAGCCCAGGTGGTGCCTGTGCCAAAGGAGTCACAGTGTCTGGGTGGGATCCAGGCAGCAGCCTGTTTTAAGGATCCCCAGGTGACTTTACTGCCCCCCAGAGCCAGGGGTGTGGGACGTGGTCACACGGGGTCTGACGGGTCTGGTCATCTGTGGTGGAGGCAGTACTGCCCTGTGTTTCCCGGGGTGCTGAGGAGGCTGAGGACAAGTGGGGATGGCAAGAGGGAAAGGGGAAGGGGCTGTGGAGGCCCAGCTGAGGGAGGCCACCCCAAGGACCGTCCTGTGCAAAGGGGCTGCTCAAGGCTCCGTCTGCAACCAGGGTGGGCGCTGAAATCCCAGCTTCCCTGCTAGCGTTTCCCAAAACAGGGGTCACTCTTATCCCCTGGAGCAGAGGTGGTGACCCCCGCGTCCCCGGATATTCGCAAGCAGAGGCCGGGCAGACGCTCACCTGGGGACCTGCCCGTCTCCCTGGCCGCAGCCTGGGTGGACCGGTGTCTGGGTGGTTGGGCTGCAGAAGCAGCACAGCCCTGCGGTCCCCAGTGGTCCCAGGTGTGGCTCTGGGAGGGCTGGACCCTCGTCCTGTAGCTGCTCCCCTGCGTCCCCGGCCCCGCGCGGGTGCCCCAGTGCTGACTGTGCTTGGCCCGAGCAGGTGATCCGGAGGCACATCCTGGGCTCCATCGTGCAGAGCGAGGGCAGCTATGTGGAGTCCCTGAAGCGGATACTCCAGGTGCGACCTGGGCTCCGGGGTGGGGCTGGGCAGGGAGGGTCCCCGAGGGATACCTCATGAGGGGCAGTTGGGGACCAAGTGACCTTGAGGGGAAGGGCCCAGAGCCAGCGCTGTATGTATCATGGGGACAGCAGGACTCCAGACAGGACACCAGGACCCCGAGCCCTCCGTGCTCACTGGACGAGTGTTTTCTGAAAGGAGTCGGGATTGGTGACCTCAGAGCGGCTCTGGGAGCTGAGAGCCTGTGGTCTCTTTCACACCTGGAAGTGACTGTGTCTTCCTGGCCTCTCGGGGAGCCTGTGGGCCCCAGGCCATGTCTCCCCATCCTCCTGGGGCTCCCCAAGACAGAGCAGGGTATGATGCCCCTCCTTCTCACACGGGGCCCGGGATCTCTAGAAGGTGCTTGGGACCCGTCTCCGAGGTGTGCTGACCTGGTCGGCAATTCGAATCCAAGACCAGGAACCTTCTGGGGTGTCAGAGAGAGGCCACCCGGGGAGGAAGAGTTGGGGTGGAGGGTGCCGCCGACACCCTCTACAGTAGGGAGCCCAGGCCTCAGGCGGGTGAGGTGCAGACATCAGGAGCTGCTGGACAGTGGCGCTGGGTCTGGGACCTCCCCACTCTCTGGGACAGAGCCCCCAGCCCCACCAGCCTCGGCCTTGGGGCTCCTCACAGGGGGGTGGTGCGTGGGAGACACTTCTGCTCACAGCCCAAGTGAAGTCGCGGGGTGTGGCGGGCAGAGGCCAGGAGTACTGTGTTCATGGAACCTTCTAGAAGGACGGGGAGCGGTGAGGGTGCCTCTCCCCTGCAGGAAGGCTTGCCTGTGGTCCACCCAGTT